GCATAAACGCATATAACATTAAAAACTTTAGTATCAAAAACAATCTTTAGAGTTATAATTCTATCTTCAATTCTATTAATATTTACAACATTATATTTCAATTTAAGGATGTCAATTTAAGTCAGCGGGTCCAGTTCAGGTCCGACCCGAATCGGGTCAACCCGAACCCGACACGAATAATAAACGGGTTGAAAAACTAAACCCAGACCCGAATCGACCCTGACACGGTTAACCTGAACCCGACCCGTTTAACCTGTCAGCTCAATTTTTAAAAAAAAAAATTTTTAAAAAAAAAATTATACATCTAATGTTTAACAAGTAACAATAGGCAAATTTAAAAAAAAATCTCTGTATGACAAGCAATAGTATAAGATTTAAGATTATAAACTGAATACCAAAGTTTATAACCTAAACTATCAATCTTCTTAGCTTTTTCTCTAACCCATTTAATTTCTTGGATGCATAACATATTTATCTTCTTATGAATCATATATCTGCTAATTTCATTAATTTACCTGTGATATTACTCGTATTCTAAGATCTTATCCTAATAATAGTTTCATAAACTAACTTCTTTGTTTGTTTCTGTTCATAATGTGAGAACTCTTGCTTATTTGACACTGCACCAGGGCCTCAATGTCGCTGCACTTGCATATTTTTCACTGTATTCAGACCATATAATGTTTTATTTTCAAGGGACGCCCTACATTTACATAATAATTTAAATGATTCATGTCACGATTTTTCGACAAAAAAATTATGCTGGTTATTGACTACCTAACAAAACCCTCCACTTTTCGAATTCAGGGCTTGGGACTTGGCAAAGGCAGTGTTAATGGTGATGATAATGAAAGGAAAAAAAATTACTCAAGAAAAAATTTGTCACAGGTTGAAATCAAATAACTTGATAAGGTTAAAAACTTCTTATGTATAAAGTAGCTCTCCCATATAAATAATTTTGCTCTTAACAAAATTATATTAAGTTTCCTTTGAGAGTTAAAAAATTGATTCCAAGCCATGGGAAATTCAAACTAAATTAACTCTGTAATGAAATAGATGATGCAATAGTCGACATTGGATAATATGAAATATTAGTTGAGAATCTAATTTATGAATCTAACACCCATCTCGATGTCGCTTGTGCAGTAAGTCTTATATGCAAGTTTATGTACAAACCAAAGAAATCTCACATTCAAGCCGCTCACAAAAATTTTCAGATATTTAAAATCAAATTTTGAAAGATGGATTTTCTATAAAAACACTATATATTGGATCTTAAATTAAATGGAGATCTGCTCTAGGACATTGCATACAACTCAGTGATTTAGTATTATTGATGAAAAAGCAAGATACAAGTGATTTAGTATTATTGAGTGATGGAAAAGCAAGATACAAATTAATGTCTCTTGATCAAATGTTGAATAAAAAAAATTAGAGCAATTGCTCGAGATACTTAACTCTAATGGATTAAAATTGTACTAGATGATTTAAAATCAAATGAAAAAAAATCTTTGAGTACTTAATGTTGCAATAGATATGGCATCAACAATATGAATAATATGAGCGAACATACAAGTGGATGTTGATTGACATTTCAAAAGAGACCATCTAGAAAGTTGGTTAATATGCACGCTATATGAATAAGAAGTCAATTTGTTGATGTTTTTATCAAAGGACTTTGCAATCTTGATTAAAAAATAGTTTTAACAAATTTGAAATGATAAATCTCCACCATCCAATTTGAGAGAGTGTTAAAACTTATCTAAAGGTTGACAAAATAAGTAGCATTAATATTACTAAATAAGGAATGAAAAGAGCGATGAATTTAAATGCTAAATAAATAAAAAAAAACACGGCCATGGATCCATGTGTTTAATTAGAAATGGGAGTGTCATGGATTGTTTTCTTTTCTTGCCAGTTAAGATAGAAAGTTATGGGGAATACTCTTTAATTTTAATATTTTTACTAGTTTTTTTTTTCAATTACTTTTAACATTGTTCTGTGTAGAAATACTTCATGGGAGAATGACCAAAAGAAGTTTTCTAGCCACTTTCTCTTTTCAATATTATTTATTTATAATATGGTTATAGAAGTTAAAACAGAAACACTGTCTACTTGCGTGTATTCCTCTTTTTAAGCCACCTTGGCCTAATGGTTGAGAGCTTTGTTTTTCAACCAAGTAGTCTTAGGTTCAAGGCTTTGCATATATGTTGTGCACGTGTTTGAGTGTGTGTGCGTGTGTATAACAACAGTAAATCTTTATCCCACATTGGAGCTGGCTACATGAATCCTTTTTCTTCATTATGCCCTATTAAGTGTCATATTTTCATTCAAGTCTAATAATGTAAGATCTTTTTTTATACATGCTCAAGTTTGGGTGTGTTGCTACATTTTTTAATAACTTTTCCTGGAGCAACACTTAATTCTTAATAAATTAGCAATTTCTAGTAAACCACCAGTATATTTAAATATTGTGATTTCTTTCTTTTTCATTCACGCCTTTTGAAAGTATTAGCTTTCGCACATAATTATCCCAATCCATTGACAGTATTGGTAGCAGGCATTATTTATTTATATGCATCTACATCCCAACACCCCTTTTGATATCTTTTTGTTGCTAGTAAGATCCATGCTATGAAACATTTGCCTTTTCCACGTGTGAGAATTTTTGTATTGCCTCCTATGCATTGGATCTGCTTCTTTTTCCCTCAGTCAGTCTTGCCAACTTTCTTCTTGCTGCTTCCCCTCTCTTTCTTTCCTAATTTACTTTTCCATCTCATTGATGCACTTGTTTATTGCTACTGCCTTATGGATCTAAAGGTTTTTATGATTGTAATTAATTCTATAGCGCTATTTTTTTGCTTATAAAAGGTGTATTTTAGCACTACACGAGTTCTTCCAAACTTGTATAAATTAGGTATAAATGATGAAATGGAAAATTATAACTAATTCTTTGTAATTCGTGTCATGGTAGGCTTTTTTCTTAGCTTTTTTATGAGCTACAGTTTTCATTGCTTTGTTGCCTAGAACTGGCAAACCTTTATTTCTTCAATTGTTTTTCTTTCACTTAATTTTATCATTTGTGGTCTTCATCATTGTAGCCTTATTTCTCTCTCCGTCTCTCTCTCTCACACGCGCGCGCGCGCACACACACAATTACTTTCACAAATGTTCTTCTTATGGATCACAATATTACCCATATTCTTTTGGTCCTAGGTTTATCTGAAAGTGAGATCTGTTACTGAATATCAACTGCAGAATTACATAGTATCCTTTCACCCGATTTGTTTCAATAGAAAGAACAATCATAAATAGTCAAAAAGTGTACACCATTTTTGAAGGAAAGCCGAAAATTGTTCCAACTTTGGCATTAGACCTCAGCAAAGTAATCCCACCTTTATTACTTGGTGATGCCCTAGTTATGAAATTCAATTATTTCCTAATTAATGCATGTGTGTTTTTTATTTTGCTTTTTGTATCATTATCAATGCATCAGTATGGAATGTAGCAAAGATGCATTCTTCCTTGAAAGGTTTGTTGGCAAAAACTGAATTTATGGTTTTCTTGCTGGATTAAATATGGAGTTTGATGTTGTAAGAGTGCAAATTCTTGAAAAAAGAGGGATTTTGTTGTCTACATGAAGTTATTGCTATCATTCGGATGGAATAAAAAGGGATAAAAGGAGTTATGATTATTAATAAAATCATGAGGTTAGGACTTCGTGACAGGCTGCCAAAATATTTTTACTTGAAATTCCCTTCTATTGAGGAGCACAAGCAGCCACATCTAATGAAGATGATTAATAAAGATTTCTAATGATGCATAAATTGCAAGAAAGCTCAATATATAAAATAAAAATGCTAGAAATTCGATATCAAGCTACCGAGCAAAGGCTTAATAATACAAGAACAGACGCGCACAGACATACACGCACGCACGCGCGCACAGACATACACGCACGCACGCACGCACAGACACACGCACGCACATTCACACATTTATCTATATCTATATCTATACATAAACACACTCACATTTTTTTTATTATAATGTTGCTTGATATGAATCGTCTCCTTGTTTGGTGATCACAACATGGAATTGTCACATCTCAACAAAAATGTATTAAAAACATGTTAAAAGAAACAGGTGACTTGGGATGCAAGATTGTTGAATGTCCTATGGATTTTATTTTTAAACTCTGGGTTACTCTTGAAGACTGGTGAGTTAAGTTATGCACAATCTTAATGAACAACTCTTAGGACGGTGCATTGACTGTTAATGATATCTTAAAGAAACCCCTAAGCAAAGGATTTTTATTCAAAAATGGGAGGAGCTGACATTTTGAAGCCTGCATAGATACTGATTATATAGGAAGTATGATTGACAGGAGGTCAAACTTAAGATATTGTAAATTCCTGTTAGGTAATCTAGTTACTTGGAGAAGAATAAAATAAATTTGAAATTAAGATGCATTATTGAAGCCGGATTCAAATTTTTGCCAATGGGAATCTCTGAATTGCTGTGGCTTAAAATTATTCTTGAAAATTTAAAAGCTGAAAGGAAAGAGATCCTATGAGCTTTTTTTGTGTGATAATAAGCCATCCATCTATATTGCATATAATTAAGGCAGCGCATGAAATATCTGTCTTTTGTATGACAACTTGAACTTCGCTTCCTATGCAGGTTCCACCGGCCTGCCTTCTCTTGCTGCCAGCCCTCTCCCTCTTTCCTTAAAAATTATTTTTTTTTAGCCACTAGATTCTATATCTGCCAACTACAGTTTTTTATGATTTGTATAAATTAAGCATAAATGATGTGAGGAAAACTTAAACTGATTCTTTGCAATTATTGTCCATGGTACAGCAATTTATTTAATTCGAGTTCTCTATGTGATGTTTTTCATTTGAATGGACTTATATTATCTTGATCTATCTATTTTGTGATTTAGTTGTAGAATTCCTTAGAAATTCGTAGCTTTACCAGATGAACCTTATTTTTAGGTGGGCTGCTGCTTCCGGTGAGGTTTCACTCAATGCCATGCTCCTTCCAGCTGCTTTATATTTTTGGCAGATTCCTCATTTTATGGCTCTTGCCTACTTGTGTCGCGGTGACTATATTGCTGGAGGGTATGCTTTTTCATGTCTCAGCGAAGTCTAATGAACATGCTCGCAGTTTTTGTATCTTTTTTTTTGTTGCTTATTGAAATGTGTTTGCCACTTACAAGTGCTATTGTTGACTCAGGTTCAAGATGTTTTCTTTTTCTGATGTTTCTGGTTGGAGAACTGCAACTGCATGCGTTTCTTTACGGAACTGCCTCTATCTGCTTCCGTTGGGATTTCTAGCTTATGATTGTGAGTTCTAGCTTCTTATAGGTTATTTCTGTTGTCACATTGTATACTTTTATTTGAAATACTTGTAGCCAATAACACCATGTTTCTTATAACTGAATCATAATTCACATTAATTATGCAAAAGTGAAAAAAGAACCTTTTCAATTTTTGCAATTGAAGATCAAATCGAATGCTTAGGTGTAAAATTTTGAATGTTTTTGTGTCCATTTGGGTAAAATGGTGCACGGTGCTGTATTCTCTACCTAGCTATACTCGGAATGACCTAGTTCTTTTCTTTTCTGTTTTTTTTTTCTTATGGATTAGTGCAATATTTGTCAAGGTTGACATTTACTTATGAGTTAGGATATATCCAAAGTCAACTGATCTAAATTATAACTGGATTGTCTTCCTTATTTTGACCTTCATTATTCTTATTCTTTCCTATGCACATCCGTTCCTTTTGTCGCCAGACATAGCTTGGGTCAATGAGCTTGCATGGGATTTTGTAACAGCTAGCCAATGTGCATGGATTTCCTTCAGTATTTCGATCCTCATGTGGGACCCTGCAAAATACAGCATCATGGTAGGTTTCAGGATCCCATTAGAAATCTCTATTTTAGTGAATCCCATGCAATAATTCTGGCAAGATGGCTTCTTCAGGTTGACTAGATTCAACTAGGTATTCATCTTTGTATCTCATCAAACTCAACAAAGCCTATTTTGGTGCTTCTATAACTTTAGGCGTAGAGATACTTAAATTGTAACCAATTATCCAAATGTGCATGGGGGATGAAATCGAGAAACTGTTCACTAATTTAAGGGCACCCTAAACATCCCTACTTGTTTGAGATACGATTGATCGAATATTTGATCGATTAAAGAAGTTCCTTGATAATGGTGTCATTGCATGCATCTTATTTGCCAACTCTTTCTAGTGACATCTGCTATCAATTGGAGAGCTCATAGGCTTTGGCAAGAAAAGGAACAAAAAATCTCATTGGCTAGTAACTTTCAGAAATTCTGTGCGCGCAATTGCACGTATGTTCTCTTTGGAACACATGGTATCGATAACAACCTGCACATCTGCTAATTGTGTGCTCCTAATGGGATGCATCATTTTGAGTGGATTTAATGCTGAGGTACTCGTGAGTTTTATTTAAGCTTTCTGGTGATTTAATCCACCAACTTCGTCCCTTCTCTAGCAATGGAGTCATTTGTTGGTGGAAGGGTGTTATTTTTGCATTATGCGAGAGAAAGGGTGTCTGGTGGGAGTATTATTTAAATTGAAGCCAGAAATTATTTTAATCTTTTCTTATTTTAAAGAAAAGTAAAAAATGTTACTTACATAGTCTTTTTTCATCAATAGCGTGGAAGTATTTTTTGAAATTATTGCAAATTTGCCCCCATTACTATTATTAATATTATTTGAAATCGACCTCCTAAATATAGCCTGAATATGCATTTGCATCATGTAGCACAAGTTCTTAATACTGGGAATTGTTTTTGCAGGGGGTATCACTTCGAAATGGTTCGCTGTAGAGTCATCTTTCATGACATTGTTAATAGGCACAGCAGCTTTGCTATTTCTTCGTGAGAGGACAACTAATACTGCAAGGAGGATGTTCTATGCCAGCCTTCTTTATCTCCCTTTATTTATGTATTTATGTCTGGCTTGCTTTTTCACAGAGTGCCAAAGACTGAAGTGGAATCACTGCTTGTTGGATCAAGTCCTACCGAGGAGCTTTTGATTAATGAAAATGAAGAATTCGAGGATGAGAATAGGAATATCCAACCGGCTCATTTTCGAACGGCACGTCCGCTAATAGCGTATGCATCCGCTGCTCCTTTCCCTTTCCTGCCAGCACCTACATATGCCTATTCCAGCTTATGATCTGCTTGAATTTTTTGCTTTAACATCCAGTTTTATCATTAGGTTTTATCAATGAGTTTTTGTGCTCCGAAAAAACCTGAGGGAGGCCCAATAAAATATCCATTAACCTATACGTGGTCCAAAAACATTAATATGTCTTATTCGTTTATTTATTTACTTGAATATGTTGTAGATTTTTGTGCGTTGTCATATGAATTTCTTGATAGAAGTTCTTATTCTCATAAACATGGAAACACGTACATTTCCTGTACTTTTGTCTGGATTGTCAATCTTTTTCGCGTCTTAAGAGTTCATGTGAGAAATCTTCTTTATAAAGTTCTGCAATTAATCTCCTTTTCTAAGGGCTAGTTTGGGATTTTAGCTTGCAGAAGAAATTGTTCAAAAAACTGTGGTAGCTATAACAATTTTTTTATTATTATTTTAAAATATTCAGAGCTCAGCCATGGCATTTTTTTCTTGGAAATTTGATCATTTTCTTATATAAATAAGGGCTAAATGTGGAGAAGGGGATATGCATTAGTTATTCTCTTTTCCCTCTCAATTGTGGGAGTCCAATATTATAAATTGTTGTTTGTTCTCTTGCTAGAACCAGAGATATCAACACTTTCTTAAAATAGCAACTTTTTAGCAGCCACTGATAAATTTTTTTTTTTTTTTTTCATTTCTTTGTATGATACATTCCTACTTTAATTTTTGAGTTTCTTATTTTAGGAGGATTAATGAGTTCATTAATTTCTATTCTATTTTTCTGCTGCATCATGAAATCATAGATTTAAAAGATCAAGTGTGAATATAACTTTAGTTAGGTAGCTATCATTTTAAAAGAATAAATGTGAAGGACTATAGACTCTGGTAGCCGTTACTCCTGAATATCATAATTAAATCTTATTTATGATGATTAAATAGATCTAGACTCAATATCTAAGAGTCAACAATTTCATTATACTCTCATTTAGTAGTCATGTCTGAAGGCTTCTTATCATACCCTTCTTTGCAAGCCATAAATGCTATTGAGATTTGCAATGCCTTTGAAAATCAATGACAAAGTTGGCAAATTCTATCTTATTATTGTGTTTTTTTTTTATTATTTTGAGTTTTTGCTTATCCTATAATGCTCATATGTTCTTGAAAAGCTTACATATTAGATTTTTTTGGTCTTTTAAAAATCATCAGTAAATGTTTAGCTCCTATATTTTTGGTATTATATTTTATATATATAATATCATTTTTACAATCATGTGATATCATTATAATTGTTGAATCCAATGTATCAACAAGACATGACATCACTCCATTTTATATATTTCATTAACATTATTTTCCTTTATAATAAGTATTACACTTTTTTTAAGAAAATGTATGTGTCAACATTAACAAAGAAATTTTTTCTTAAGTAATTAAAGATTTTAATATTTTTTTTTCAAATATAATATCAAATTGACTCCAACTAATAATATGCTTAAATAATTATATTTTCTTAAATTTAATAGGCTAGTACATTTAATTTTGCATGCAAATTTATTTTTCATGAGCAAACAAAATTTCGCTCATACACAAAAAAAATATATCTAAATTGGAATAAATGAGAAGAAGCATGCTAACTCCAAAGACCTATCCTATTTACATTTGTTATCTTTAATAACTAAAATAGCAACACCAATTTTGTAATTAAAAACAATTGCAATAGCCTTACATCAATTGACCTTTTTGTGATTTTCATTTGATTCATGCTCCTTTTTTTTCAAACGACAAATAAATACATGCACACATACCTACATACATACAGACACACACACACACACACATACCTACCTACATACCTACATACCTACATACATACATACATACATACATACATACATACATACATACATACAGATATATGAGTAAATAATATTTCTACGTTTGATAAAATTTATTGGAGGGGCTTTTGACAATGTACATATATTCTACATTGAGCAATAAATTTCTATGATTTTTTCTTTACAATCATTGTTAAGATCTCATTCGCTCAGCACATTTGAATCATAAGGAAATTGCTCATTTTGTTCATGTCTATATTGTTTTCTCCACTCATGATTTAAGGCATCTTGTTTTTCTTATGAATGACATTACAAGGCCTTATCATATACTCAAGAACAGCGTACATCTTGGTACTCCAATGACAAACTCTTCAAACCATCAAAATTTTTCATCTTTTTTTCACCATCCTTTTACTTTTCATTCTTTTTTTCTTATACTAGTTAGAAAAGGAAAAAGTTTCAAATTGGTTTCAATAATCATAAAATAATTATAAAATTACTAAACACTATAATTTACATGAATCAAATTTTGTAAACTTACATCCACGGCCATAAGGAAATAAAATAATCCATTACGCTTCAAAAAAGACATGCAAAAATAATTTTGAATAAAAAGTTAGAGATGAATGAAAAAATTATTATATCTAACTTAGACTACAAATTTGTCATTAAGAAAATAATTTTTTTTAATGTACTTGTAAAGGGAGTCACTTTTTAAGGAATGGTACTCGTAAAGGTTTACACAAATTGATCCATGGCCTCACCAATGACCTCCCTAACCCCACCAAACCCTAAAAATCAGTCCAAAACCCTAATGTGTCATTTTAGTCCCAAACTTTGATGGTACACTGAATTAGTCAAAATGAGTTAGGCCAAACCCGAATTTAGTTAAATTTTGACAAAATTTGTCATTTCACCTTCCCCATCAGATCCCCAACCATATGGTCAACCATGGACGATATGGTCAATTTTGCATCATATGGTCAAATCATGAACACTATGATCAACCATGAACCAATATGGTCAACCTCAGACCATATGGTCAATCCTGGACCAATATGGTCAACCATGGACCATATGACCAATTTTGCACCATGTGGTCAAACCATGACCACTAATGTCAACCATGGACCACTATGGTCAACCTCAAAACATGTAACTAATCCATAGACCATATGGTCAACCATTGACCATATGATCAACCCATGATCACTATGGTCAACCCATGACCATATGGTCAAATTATGTCATTCTCTTCATTAGTTAATTAATTAATTAGTTAATTAAAAGAGTGATTTTAGAACCCATTAAACTTTAACATAAGTGTAAACCCTAAAGCCTTACCCCATCCTCCATGACAAAGGTCCAAGCACATGAGCCAAGTCCATGTCCCATTTTTAAATGGGTCATCCTTGACCCAAACTAACCTATCGGGAGAAAGGATGACCTATATCCTAACTATGACCAAAATTAAAAAGAAAAAAAAGGGAAGAAGAGACAAATGAGAGCACACCTACCCCCTCCTTCTACACTTGGCAACCAAGTCTTCCCCACTTAAATCTTCTCATGCTTGGTCAAGCCAAACCGTGGTTGAGCTCAACAACCACACCTACAACTCCCTCTGATTCCTTCAAGCCATGAAATTTCTCTCTCTTCCCCGTTGGAGCAACCATGGTCAATTCTTCCAAAACTAGGAAATGACACCCTAACTTAGCAAAAAAAAAGCTTCACATACCTCCTGCACTTATAGAGGAGCCACCCATGCTTATCCCAAGCCATGTAAAGCCCTCCCATGGCGGTTAAGAAAAGGAACCCGAGAGCTCCAAACACAATCATGCTCCTCATCTAGACTTCCAAACCTTTGTCCTTCAATAGAGAAATTCCTCTCCTAGACATATGTAATTGATCCACCAACTCCTCAATTCCTTAATCCCATTAGGATGCCCTAATTTCCCAACCCAAATCCAGAGCATAATTTGGGGCCGACTTAAACCTCTCAAAAACTTCAAACCAACTATTCCAAAAGCTTCCTAGGATCTATGTGACCTTCCCCTATCAAAATTGAGCCTTCCTGTGGCCTCAAACCTATCTCAAGACCAAACCGAGCCATCCTTTGGCCTAGCCATAACTAAAGCTGATTTCATTCAAAATTGAGCTAAGGATAAGTTATGTAGGAGTCCACGCAATTGTGTCTGTCAAGCCCAATTGAGGCTACACCTCTTGGGACAAGGTATGGATCAAAAACCCTAAATTTTGCTTTGGGTTTGGTCTTTTGTGAAAGAAATGAACACACCATGCTTGATCAACTGTATAGATGTGTTTGACTAGATTAAATGAAGTGTTAGGAGCAAACTCTGTGAGATTTCATGGAAAATTGAGGGAGAAATTAGCATTTGAACATGTTGTGATCTGGTTGTAATAGATATAGTTCCCAACGATAGCAGACTTGGGTCGCAACTGATTGCTATAAAGGTAGTAGCCCATTATGAATATTGTAGATAATGGTTGTAGAGCCAACTTTTCATAGAAGCCATTGTTGAAAGTCATTGTGATCATATGAGTTATAAATGGTTGTTTTATATGTGTCAGTTGGTCACATAAGCCGTAAGAGGGAGTTGCATAAACATTTATAGGCCGCAAAGGTCAGAATTGGGAACTGCGTGAGTTGTGAGTCGTGTTGTAGTTGGTTACCTAGGTAATAACCAAGAGTTGTAATAATTTCTATATGCCACAAATGCCAGGTTTGTGAGCTACATGAAATATCATAGCATTTGTAGGCCACAAAAGCTAGAGTTAAGATTTATATGAGCTGTAATAACATATGTAAGCTGTAGAGGCTGGAGTTGGGAGTTACATGAGTTGTGATTTTTTTCATAAGTCATAAATATTGGATTTGGGAGTTGTATATTTTGCTGTCCATGTAGACCACTGATGGTCTTACAGGGTTATGGTGGTGCGTTGTAAGGAGAGAGCTTCAAGAATCTTGAGAAAGCCACCATATATGTAGTATGACAATCGTAAGCAGTTAGTGTGAGGTGCATTATCACATCACTTTTGGGGGTCATAGTTGCACCATATGTGAGGCACATTGTTGCACCGTAAGTGAGACACATCGTTGCACTATATTTGGGGTGCGCTTTGCACTGTATTTGGGGTGTGTCGTTACACTATCTTCAAAGTGTTTTACTAAATTATATGTGGGGAGGGCGTTGCACCATCTTCAGGACATTGTTACACCATATTCAGAGTTCGTTATTATACTTTCTTTAGGATGTGTTGCTCTGTATGATAATTTGTTACTCTGCAATGTTAGTCATTACTCCACGCAATTCTTTGTTACTTCGTAGCACTGAGCAGAGGCTGCTAATGGCGGTCTACGACGATCGGTGAGCGATGGTTGATGGTGGTTGACTGCTATTGGAGTAATAAACAGTGATAGTTGGCAGCTGCAGGAGCGGGTGGCGCTGGTTGGACCTTT